GGACTGTGGGAGGAAACCGGAGCACCCAGAGGTAACTCGCGCAGACACGCGGAGAATGTGCAAACTCCACACAGACAGTCATCTGAAGGTGGAATCAAACCTGGGTCCCTGGCGCTGTGAGGCAGCAGTGCTAACCACTGAGCCCTCGTGCTGCCTCACAGTGTTCATTGTCATTGTTCAAATGAGGTGCCAGCCAGTTGCTAGAAAACTGGTTATCTATTGTAACAATTGAAATGTTGACCAGTGGGAGCCTTTAATATGAAGAATACGTGGTATTTTCTCGTGTCAACTTTGCCAATCTACACCATGAGTCACTGCCTTGAGGAGGTGGTGAAGTTGGGGGAGGGCGTGACAGAACAAATTGGGGGACAGGAAAGGCAATTTGGAAGACTGGAATAAAATATCCCCTTATGCCTTGGAAACTGAAATGAAAACAGATATTAGGTGATGCATTTGTAGAGAAGAAAAGTCCTTGTCCTCAAACCAAACTGTTTTTGACGTGTCTCAGGCCCATTTTTTTTCGTCAGGACTGTTTGTTTTACAACACACCATTCCTGACCCTTCTCAAAAGCCTCTCATTGTGTGTTCTGCCTCTGGGAGACCATATCACTGGCATGTCAATGGCACACTTGTCTTACACTGGGCAGTACTGACAGGCTCAGGCTGCTTTCAAAGATCGAGTTTCTGATGCTACAGTATTTCAGGGTGACAGACGGGGAGTAGTGTGTGTGAGGTGGGGGTGGGGAGGGAGTGTGTTTCATTAAACACCCAAGACACAGGTTAATGATCTTGTCAGACTTTGGTTGAAAGGTCACAGTCATTCACTTGACTATTATGAGTTATATCCAGTTTGGTTTTATAAATGGAATGTGTTGATTTAAAAAAGAAGTTGATAAGAAAAGCTTGTTTCTTTTTGTAAACCAGGCAGTACATGCCAGTGAATTTCCTCTCTCAAACTGACTGTATAAACAAGGGTATCGGCAGCCAAGAAATAATCTAATCTCATTGTACATTTCAACACAATCAAGTTTTATTTAGTTGCCAGAATGTAAAACTAATGCTATATCCCTATTCGGGAATTCTAACCTTGAACAAAATGCTGTGTAAGACAACAATCTGTATTGTTGGGCACAGTTATTGATCGACTACATTTAGAGCTGTTTAGCAGTATGCTTTCAATATTCTCAGCTTTGCCTTAATGTGCTGCGTTTCCCAAAGTTTCAGTAAAGTTTCCAGCTTCTGATTGTGGTAGCCACTGGAACCACTCAGTCATTGAATTATATTATGACACAGCAGGAGGCCATTCTGCCCATCATCTATTCTGAACCAGGTTTGCCCATCTGTTTCCAGGGCAGCTTTGGTGGAGAGCTGGGAGGTGGGTTCCTGCCTGTAGCAGGAAGGATATTTCAGAGTAAGATCTGGAACAAAGAGAATGATGGACTGGGCAAATGAGGCAGTTTGTTCATGTCCATTCGGCCCAGGTTCCTGGGCTAACACTCAGGATGAAGACTAGTGCTTGCTGACTGCAAGTATCACATGTGAAATGGTTTTCACACAATCGCACTATTGTATAAAGGGGCTATACACCTCAGTTATATCCCCATTCGGCACCTCCAGCCTACCCAATCATTCCTTGTTGCTGAATGTCCTTCCTTATTCTTGGCCATGTTCTTGGGAGAGTGGGAGAGGAGGTGAGGGTCATGGGGAGTGGGATAGGGGAATTGAGGGTTCGGGAGAGTGGGAGAAGGGAGGTGCAGGCCATGGGGAATGGGAGAGGGGAAGGTAGGATCATGGGGAGTGGCGGAGGGTACAGGGATGGTGGAATTTGATGCTTACTTCTGAAGAACAGTTTAAATGGGCAAATGGAATGGTCTCAATGCAGGTATAATTAGAAGTGTTCATATTTAATAAAGAACAGTGTTCAAAGATTTAATTCTTTCTAAAAACTGAAAGAACCGCAGATGCTGTCAATCAGGAACAAAAACAGAAGTTGCTGGAAAAGCTCAGCAGGTCTGGCAACATCTGTGAAGAAAAAAATCAGAGTTAACGTTTCGGGTCCGGTGACCCTTCCTCAGAACTATTCGTGTGGTGACACAAGAGCAGGGATCTTGTCCTCTCCCACCACCCAGTTGTATAGTGTCCACTCAGTGTCCAGAGGGTCAACCATTGGGCCTGCCCATTCCACGGAACCCTTACTACTTTAGTGTGTCAGGCACTCCCTGGGCAGAGTGAACACTGCAGAATATGTGCCTGTTGGGCAGTTTAACACCAGTTTCTCTCAAAAGAAAAAAAACGTTGCATGAACCAATTCCTTGGTTACTCACCTTTTTCGTTGATGAAGGGTTGGGAATATTGCATCCAAGTTTTTTGAGCTGGAGTATAGGTCGGTGGAGGGTACCAAGAGGCTACAAAGAGGCATATGTGTGTTGAGTGAGCAGAGTTTGTTTGAGGAAGTATGCAACTATTCACTTTGGTGATGGGAATGAAAAAGCAGACTACTTGTTAGAAAGGCGTGTGCACTGAAATATTGATGCTCAGAGATACTTCTGTGTAGCTGGCAGAAGAAATACAGAAGTTGCTGTTTAGGAAGGTAAGTTAAGTTTTTTTGCAAGACGGTTGGAGTAAACGAATAAGGAGATCTTGCTACAATTGTTCAGGGCTTTAGTGAGACCACACCTGGAGGACATGGTAACAGAGATAACACAGTGTGGAGCTGGAGGAACACAGCGGGCCAGGCAGCATCAGAAGAGCAGGAAAGTTGACGTTTCGGGTCGGGACCATTCTTCGGGAAACTACACCTGGAGGAAGTACTGTGCACTGTTTTAGTCTCCTCCCAGGAAGGATGTACCTTCATTGGAGATGATACAGTCAAGATTCACCAGATTGATTGCAGGTCTCAAAAGAGTGTTGTATAACGAGGGGCTGAGTAGTGTGGGCGGAGAGGAATGAGAGGAGAGTGTTTAAAACTGAGATATAGTGGAATTTCTGAATTCATTTGCAAGGAATTCTCTCCCCTGCTCACTTGTTGATTATATTCAAGTCAGGGGTCAATAGAGTTAGCACTCCAGGGACATTCGGGGATATGAGAGGGTTCACGACAATGATCCCAGGAATGAAAGACTTAACAAAGGAATGTTTGAGGACTCTGGATCTATACTTGATGTAATTTAGAAGGATAAAGCTGAATCTAATTGAAATATACAGAATACTGAACAGCCTGGACAGAGTGGACATTGGGAAGATGTTTCCATTGGTAGGAGAGTCTAGGACCCGAGGGCACAGCCTTAGAGTAAGGGGAAGACCCTTTAGAACAGAGATAAGGAGAAACTTCTTCAGCCAGAGAGTGGTGAATTCACTGCCACAGAAGGCTGTGGAGGCCAGGTCATTGAGTATCTTTAAGACAGAGATAGATAGGTTCTTGATGATCAAGGGTTACAGGGAGAAAGCGGGAGAATGGGGTTGACAAACTTATCAGCCATGATCGAATGGCAGAGTAGACTCGATGGGCCGAATGGCCTAATTTCTGCTCCTATATCTTATGGTCTTATGAGGACAGGGCAAGAAAGTAGAATTAAGGTCATAGATGAGCTCTGATTCTATTGAATGATGGAAAGGCCAAATAGGGTACTCCTGCTGCCATCGAGATGCCCATCAGAAATGCCTTCAAACATCAAGAAGCATCAATAACCCCACTTTCTCTCCACCTGACAAACTCTTGAGTAATCCAGTTGCTAGTCAAAAATTCAACCAGTGTCTTAAAGCTCCCATCACATGAAAGCTGCTGTATTGGTGGAATTGGTTGTTCACGGTATGCTTGTAGAACTGGCAGATGCCTTGTACTGGTTGCTGATAAATGAAAATGTGAGTTTGTTCATCTTAAAATATGTGCCACCGCTCCTGCATTCCTGGGTTTACTGGTACATCTCACACACACACACACACACACACACACACACACACACACACACACAC